AGCGGGACACATTGGGTGATCAATATTTTTTATTGGAATATATAGGAAAAATCTTTAAAAATCTCCCCAAGAGCAGCACAGCCATTATTGTAAACTATTATTAATTTTTTATATATATTATAATATTCTTTAACTCTTTACAACTTACTGAACTGTTATGCAACATACACTTAATGTTCACGTCATGGAAATAGAAATTTACCATTTCCCCGCAAGCACCTTATAGCGCGATACACGTTTCTCTAAAATTTAGCGTAAATAATATTATGACGTAGAATTATAATGCAAATATATTTTTTTCTTATTTTATGAGATTTTTGCAAGTATAAAATAGAATGAAATTGGCATTAAATTAAAGATTAAATGAACTTTTTAAAGTGCGTGAAATTGCGTGATTGCGGGGAAACGGTATATGCATGATTTTGCGTTAGAAATAGGAAATGGTATATGCGTTAAAGTGCGTGACTGCGGGGAAGGGGGTTAATATAAGCTATATTCATATGGAAGCATAACCTGTTAGTGTATATTCAAGTTTGTCAAATTTACGACCCCATTATAGGGCGGGGTGACAATACAGATTAAACTTTTACAACGGAATTCAAATGAAAACTTTCTAAACTATTTAAAGCCATGACTAGTCATATACCTATACTGAAGCATTTTCCGTTAGATGTTATTTAGTTTTGTCCCTTCCAATCATACATCATCCCTTGCCCTGCTAGGTGCAAGGGGATCACTCATCACGACTGAACTATCGCGTCATCGCACCTTCGAGGTTTAGGTCTATAGTGCGATGAAGCGATAATGCAATGACAGTGATGCGATGGTAAGCTGACGCAATGACGCAATAGTACGATGGCGATAGTGCGATGACGATGAAGCGATATTTACCATTGCCGTATCATGTAATTGCACCATCATCATCGCATTATCGCGCTATCGCATCCTCGTTATCGCACCATCGCTTCATCGTTATCGCATTAGTATGTCATCAACCTCTTAGTCGATGCTTGATTGTGCGATCGTTAAATGCATGGACCTACCCGGATTCAGTAGAGTGATATGGACCATTGGCCTCGTGTTCCTCATTATGCGAAGTGATTGCACACAATAATTCCTATTCTTTCTTAAAATCTATCAATTTCTTTGACGTCAAATATATTTACACCGCAACTATGTAGTCAACTTATTCCCTACTATATCCCTTCCGTTGGATTTTGAATTAACAGGTTAAAAAATGTTTAATTTTTTTCGTTGCTCTTTTGACTAATATTTTACAAAGCAATTCAAAAGGTGCGAAAGGTTTTCACCAGGTATCCCTGTCTGCGTCACATTCTATGAATAAAGGTTGTACTTGTATGATTGTGGTTTTCACTGGTAAAGATAAATTGGATGATGAAAATATGACCGTAGAAGAATACATTAATACTATGGATGACAACTCCAATAACAAAAAGCTCATAAATGACAGATAGAAGATTTATTGATATCTTTTTCAATGGAAATATGACGGACCGTGATAAGGAAGTCAAGAGTATTTTGAGAATGATTGAACAGATTGGCAAAAACGATTTCCGTACTTGCTATAGAAAAGGGGATTTCAAAACTGTAAAAGATTATACAATTCATAGTCTTGATGCTTTCGAGATTATTTGTCCAGTTTTCTTTTATTTTTGTAGTGTAACATATTCATTGCGTTTTAGCTCACCTGAGCCGAAGGAAAAATGTTTTAAAATCTTCTTCTCAAGAACCACTGGACCAGAAAAGCTGAAATTTATGTGGAAGCATCCTGGGGTAGTGTAGATTCTAAATTGTTCAAATTTTGACCCCTGGGGGTTGGGCGGGGCAACAATGGGGAATCAAAATTTTACATAGAAATATATAGGAAAAATCTTTAAAAATTTTATTCTCAAGAACCACTGGGCCAGAAAAGCTGAAACTTATGTGGAAGCATCCTGGGTTAGTGTAGATTCTGACTTGTTCAAACCATAACCCCCGGGGGTTGGGCGGGGCCACAATGTGGAATCAAAGTTTTACATAGAAATATATAGGAAAAATCTTCTCAAGAACCACTGTTCCAGAAAAGCTGAAATTTTTCAACTCATAACCCCCGGGTGTAGGGTTGGGCCACAAAATATGGAATCAAAGTTTTACATAGAAATATATAGGAAAAATTTTAGAAAATCTTCTCATGAACCACTGAGACAGAAAAGCTGAAACTTATGTGGAAGTATCCTGGGGTAGCGTAGATTTCAAATTGTTTAAATTTTGATCATTGAGGTAGGGTGAGGTCACAATATGTATTACAAGGGGAAATCTGGTAAAAAACAGAATTTTCAAAGATTCTCAGGTGGGCGATGTGGCCCATGGGCCTCTTGTTTATATAATGCATTGTGTTGTATATTGAACATGTTGATTGATTGATTGTATACTGTTTAACGTCCATCTCCAGAATATGGAGACGTCACCATTGCCGGTGAAGGGCTGAAAATGTAGGCCTATGCTCGGCACTTACGGCCTTTGAGCAGGGAAGGATCTTTTTCGTGCCACACCTGCTTTGACACGGGGCCTCGGTTTATACCGTCTCATTTAGTCGCCTTTTACGACAAGCAAGGGGGCACTGAGGACCTATTCTAACCCGGATCCCCACGGGGCTTGGACATGTTGAAGATAAGCATAAAAGTACAATGAAAAGAATTTTAATGATTTGTGCAAAATATATTGACAAAACAAATTGATTGTCGACTTAATGGATTGAGCAAGGAGTGTAAAATTAAATTCTAACTAGTTGTAAGCAAACTTGGTTTTCAGAATGAATATAAATGAACTCACTTAGTTATTTCTTTAAGGACAAGAGTTGTATATTTTAATTGCAATTTTTAACTTTTCAGAAAGAATTTTATAAAACTGTTTTGTATTTCTGAAATATAAATATACTGAGATTGAGACCTTAGGTAATAAAAATCTTAAATTCCTTTTACAGAAATAAATGGCGAGGTGCGGATGGTACTAATCGGTAAGACTGGCGTTGGCAAAAGTACCACAGGTAACACCATATTAGGATTTAATGCATTCAATACTAAAGTCTCAGCAACATCAGTCACAACCAAAACAGAGTACAACGAATCGGTGAGATTCGGTAAAAAATTGGTCGTTGTTGATACTCCAGGACTTTTTGATACAGGTCAAACAGCAATGGAAGTTCTCAGAGAAATATCTCAATGCTGCTTTCTTACATCTCCTCGTATTCATGCTATAATCTTGGTTGTTCAAGTTGGAAGATTTACTGAGGAAGAACAAAAGACCGTAGATTTATTCATGAAAGTTTTTGGAGAAGATGCGAAAAAATTCATGATTGTAGTATTTACTGGGAAAGATAGATTAGAAAATGAAAACATGACTATTCAGGACTTTGTCAGCACGATGAATAAAAGTTCAAACCTAGCCATTATTCTTCATGAAATACAAGGAAGATATATGGCCATTGGATACAGAGGGCAGCAGAAAGAACGGGAGAAAGAAGTACGACATATGCTGTCAATGATCGAGAAAATGGGAAAAGACAACTGTCAGTCATTCTATAGCAGCGATATTTTTAAAAGAGTGGAAGATATGATAAGAGAAGATGAAAGAAAAAAAAATGAAAATTCAAAAAGCAAAGAAAAAACATACACAGAAGAAGAAGTCCGACAATTAATGAGTGCAGAAAGGTCCAAAAGGCGTGCAAATGAACATGACGGATCACAATTTTTTCGAATCCCGAGGTCTACGAGGGTCATTCAAAAAGTTCGTAGACTTTTGTCCTAACTTTCTTTTTTAACGTCATATTATATCCAAATTTGGTACAAATGTTTTAACAACAGATTCAATTAATTTGAGTAAAAAAATTGGAATGTATCTTCATATTTATTAAAATTACTAAGGATTTAGAACAGCGAAAATGGGGTCACGGAGCACCGTCAAAATTGAGCAATTTTCTAATTTTCACTTTATAGTATTTACAGCTATACCTTTAATAATTGGAGCTGAAACGAAATAAAATTTACATGTTTAAATAAAGTATTGCTGTAATAATTTAAATGAAATAAGGTTATGTAATATCTCGCTCCAGTTAAAAGATATCAGCTTCTAAATACATATGGACTTGATTAAAAAAAGGCAAAAAAAACATGACGTTGGAGGACGTCACGGAGCAGCAAGTAGCAATAAAATTAGACTTTACATTCGGGAAACTTCTTCTACAAGCTTAAAAAATCCTTATAAACCAGGATCTGTATGAAAAATAATCCGTGTATTTGTATTAAATTGAAAATACAATTTTTGAGTGGTAGTGAGTTTGAATCGGACGATGGATCGACTGCAAATAAACAGGTTAAAGTTAAAAATATTGTCAAAATAGTTAGGAACGTCATTGAACGTAATATGTGCTTCAATGTTGCAGAAATAATAGAGTTACATGGTAAATTAAAGAATTTGAAAACAATAGCATTCTAATTCAAGCTATATTTGTACAATTGTTAGCAAACTAGGTGTTAAGTGCTGTGGATATGTGTTTTGAATGGAGAAGACGCTACAAACCGTGTTTGAAATATATAAAAAAGAGTATACTTTTGACAAACTTTCTTAGCGTTGATTTTGACGTTACAATATTGGTAAACCGTGCTCCGTGGTAACAAAACATGTTGCTTTAAATTTTGGCTAACATGAGTTCTATTTAATCAAATGGAATGAAACTTCACACATCGACAAAATAAATGTTTATGTTTACGAAAATGTGTTGATATATAATCTTGTAATAATCATATGACGATGAGAAGCATTGTCTACGTATTTTTTGAATGACCCTCGTATAGTGCGATGAAGCGATAATGCTAATGCAATGACGATGATGCGATGGTAAGCTGAAGCGATAGCGCGATGACGCAATGATGCGATGGCGATACTGCGATGAAGATGAAGCAATATTTACCATTGCCGCATCATGCTATTGCACCATCGTCATCGCATTATCGCGCAATGGCATCATCGTCATCGCACCATCGCTTCATCGTTATCGCATTAGTACGTCATTAACCTCTTAGTCGATGCTTTATTGTGCGATCGTTAACTGCATGGACCTATCCGGATTCCACAGAGTGATATGGACCATTGGCCTCGTGTACCTCATTATGAGAAGGGATTGCACACAATAATTCCTATTCTTTCTTAAAATCTATCAATTTCTTTGACATCAAATATATTTAAACCGCAACTATATAGTCAATTGATTCCCTACTATAGCCTTTCCGTTGGACTTTGAATTAACAGGTTAAAAAATGTTTAACGAAAGTCGAGGCTTCTTTGTGAGAATATTCTTTGTTTCTCCGTCGAGCCAAAATGCATTTTTATCATGTATGAAGGCAAGCAATATAAAATTCCTTAATACGTTAATTCAACCATTCTATGTACAATTATATTGCTTTATACGTTACACATATGCATATAGAAGTTATCGAAACTATTATTTCACTTTTCCAATCGCAGAGAACGTTAACTTATAAAATTTAAAGACTATTCTTTTAGTTGGACAATAATGGAGATATATATCAACACGAAGATTATTTTTTTTTTTCAAATTTAGAAAGTGCCAAAGAAATTCGAATTTTACTTGTTGGAAAAACTGGTGTAGGAAAGACTACTATCGGAAACACAATTCTTGGCACCGATACTTTTTTTTACATTAACAGCTGCGACGTCGAAAACAACGGAGACCCAATATTGTGTCTCAAAGAGATTCAATAAATGCTTGGTTGTTTTTGATACACCGGGTCTCTTCGATACAAGCACTACAATTAATGAAACATTTGCTGAAATCGAAAAGTTCCCAGATATGATAGACTTTAGTTCTGCAGCCATTCATGTTTTATTGTTAGTTGTAAAAATTGGGAGATACACTGATGAAGAACAAAAGAGTGTTCAGCTTCTATTGGACTACTTTGGTCAACAAGTTGAGCGGTGTATGATTGTGGTATTCACTGGTAAAGATAAATTGGATGATGAAAATATGACCATAGAAGAATACATTAATACTATGGATGACAACTCCTATATCAAAATGCTCATAAATCACATAGATAGAAGATTTATTGATATCGATGGAAATATGACGGACCGTGATAAGGAAGTCAAGAGTATTTTGAGAATGATTGAACAGATTGGCAAAAACGATTTCCGTACTTGCTATAAAAAAGGGGATTTCAAAACTGTAAAAGATTATACATAGTCTTGATGCTTTCGAGATTATTTGTCAAGTTTTCTTCTAATTTTGTAGTGTAACATATTCATTGCTTTTTCGTATATTGCATTGTGTTGTATATTGAACATGTTGAAGATAAGCATAAAAGTACAATGAAAAGAATTTTAATGATTAGTGCAAAATATATCAAATTGATTGTCGACTTAATGGATTGAGCAAGGAGTGTAAAATTAAATTCTAACTAGTTGTAAGCAAACTTGGTTTTCAGAATGAATATAAATGAACTCACTTAGTTATTTCTGTAAGGACATGAGTTATATATATATATATATTAAATGCAATTTTTAACTTTAAAATCTCGTTAACAAAATCTCATACTCGAAGACGAAAGGTCAAGGTCGACAGCCATGTAGCAAGTAGGTGCAAATTGAGCTCCGTGAAATATACTTAAAACAGGGATAATTCTACTCCAGCATACGTGAGTTTGTGTTAAAGTGATATGTAGTGATCATAGTACCATATGCTAGTAGAGGAATTGAACTTATAATTTAAATCATGTAAAAATTCTGTCGAACATTTATGTCAGAGCTAGTGAAGGCGTGATGAGTAGATCTCAACTGGGATCTCCATTAAAATGCCAAAGCAAAATAAACACAACAAAAAAAAAAGCAAGATTAAGTGAAGCAAGTGATTCCTCTATGGCTAACTCAGATAACGGTCTTCACAAACTAGATGATTTATAAGAAAGCTTCTCGCATGATGAAGAAACTGCTAGAAAAGCTGTGAGCATTATCCTTAATAAAGAAGTGATAAAAACGTCATTTCAGAAACAATTGCTGATAAAATGAATATTATGCAATCACAAATAAACCAACTAGAGACACGTCTGGATGATTTAGAACAGTACTAAAAAAAACTGTCTAAAATTAACTGGAATCCCGGAAAATAAAAAGGAATATACGGACGAAATTGCCATGAGGGTCATAAACTCGTCCTATCTCCAGAAAAAACTTCCATTGGCTTTGACAAGATTGGACGGACCCACCTTGTGGGCAGATTTCCAGGTGAAACCAATAATGCGGCCGAACCCCAGCGACCGCTGGACATTATTGTCCAGTTCCTATCATATAGAGATCGAGCCATGGTATTCGCCCATAAAAGTCATCTTAAAACCTTCAATGATAATGAGGCAAACGGTTACAAAATCTTAACGAGGCCCTTACGAAAAGAAGAAGTGACCTATTGTTTCAGGCGAGGAAATTCGCATGGGAATAGCTGATTGACAGCATGGGTCTATGACGGGCGAGTGATTGTAAAAACGCTGAACAATTAACTGTCTCAGTGATTTGCAAAAACTAATCGCCCCGAAGCCACTGACGTCCACAGCAGCTCCCCAGTACGGGTAAAGTACCAGTATGCACAACTCACATTGTTGAGTGGTAAGACTTTAGTGTATGGGGATTTCCGTGTCTATTTATAGATCAGTGGAAGGTTTAAATAAGTAACATTCTGATCATTATTACATGAATTGACTTAACTTGCGTTTAAGCGTTTTCTATTCATCATAGAAATTATAAATTTTTTAAATAACACGTCTAACCCCCCGTTCACACAGAGCTGCGACTCTACGGCGATCATCCCGATCAAGCCACGATCTGAAATTTTTTTGGATCGGGGCAGATCGCAGCCGATCGGCGTCTAAATAGAGCAAATTGGCAAATTGTGTTCTTCGTTACGACCGTACTACGATGTCCCTACGTCTAACGCGCTGCTAACACGCTTCTACTACGATGTTACGCAGACCGTTGCCGACAAGAAGCCGTGTTTAGTGCGTTTACGCTACGCTGCCACTACGACATTGAAGACCATACTACGACGCTACACAGACCTAGATGACTGTACCGCGATATCGCTACGGTGGTGCCGATTATATTGCGATTGCATTACGCTTCTAGTACGATTTTGGCGAATGATGCAAATATGTCTTGAAACTGCAGATTTTTGTTGTACAATTTTAGCGATGATACATATCTTGCGACCGCAGTTTTTTTTCGGCCTTTACCACATGGTTTAGGGCATTTCTAATTATTATAACTGTAACAAGAAGTGAAAATACTCAATTGTAAATGATCACCAAGTATAATGTCACCCTTTACATTTAGTTAACAGATGATGATTGGTCAAATATCAGCGGTATAAGAACACACTCTTGTCTGATAGGTCGTGTGTTACAACGCACTTTGAAAAATTACGCACTTTGAAATTTTTTTTCAAAATTGGGACCAAGCTAACGCACTTTGAAATTTTTTTTTTCAAAGTGCGTTAATATCGACCATATTAACGCACTTTGAAAAAAAAAACGTAAAGATTGATCAATATTCCTTCAAATAATCGGTATGATAAATAACAGATCCTGGTTTGAAAACTTTTTTATGATAAAGTCACTGTAGGACCTGAGATATTGACGTTTTAAATATTTAAGGTTTTGATAAAATAAAAGGGAAAATTAAAGGGTCTTGAAAAAAAAGTGTCGATTGTTGAAGTTCATTAATTCCTTTCTTCTTTTCTTTTTTTTAATTCTAGTCTCTGATAAGTAGATGTAAAGGTGTATAGGGGGCACTAACAGAGGGCAGCTTCAAGCAACTTAGCATTTATCAAAATAAAAAGGGGCCAATTTGATTGTCCAAAACTATGAAAATTCTTTCTCTCTCATACGTTTTACTGTACTTAAAAATTTCTAGTTTTCATCTGTTTTAATTAACTCATTTATTATTGAAAGTTTTCAACGTCATACCAGTTAGGTAAATACATAATTATATGAATGCTTTGAGTATAGCATAGTCATCGAGACTGGGCGAAGGGCCAGGGGAAGGGATGGGGGGGGAGGGCTAAGCCCTTCACTTATTTTGGAAAGATATAAAAATCGTATAAGCATTGAAAATGCAGCGTACCCTTTTTTAGGTTTATTGCTCCCCTACCCCGTTTGTTACCGACACCTATGTATTGGAAAGATAAAGATTTCGACGGAGGGATCTGATACCCGTCTTCTCCTCTTTTCGACGGGAGTAAATCAATTCATTTTTAAGGTTAGGGTTAGGCTTAGTTTTTTGAAAGATAAATAACAAATAAAATCTTTCCATGGCTAAAATATGATTTTTTTTTTCAAAGTGCGCTCAGTGTCTCCATGATAAAATATATTGATGTAGACTCTTAAAGCATTTTGAAAATTTTTTTCAAAGTGCGTTGAGTTGGTCCCAAATTTAACGCACTTTGAAATTTTTTTTCAAAGTGCGTAATTTTTTCAAAGTGCGTTGCCACAGTCGTGGAATGATCGGCGTAAGGTCATTGTAGGTCTTCGTAGGATCTTCAGGAACGTAGAGGGATCGTAGTGAGAACGTAGTACGAACGTAGAAGGAGCGTGCGTTGTATGAGCGTGTTTGGTTAGTTCCTACGCTCTCACGGCGCTTTTACTACGATCATGAAGATCTTTCTAAGATGCTTCCGCGCTGCCTGTACGATTACGGCGCTTCTACTACGCTCTTTTTACGACTCCACCCCGATTCTTGTTGGCCACAATCCCGCTACACTTGTTTTGAACATGTTCAAAATAAGCGTGGTGAGAGCGTAGAGCTCTCCGATCATGAAGACTCTACTGCGATCATACTACGCTTCTGACGACCCCACGACGTCCCTCTTGCGATTTGTCACGATTCGCCACGCTTTTAACCACATTTTGATCGTAGTAGAAGCGGCGTCTATGTGTGAACGGGGGGAAATCAATGATTTTCTAATCATTTTGATATTTTGCGGAGCATCAATGCTTATCTTGTATACATGTACATGCATGTAATGAGGTTTTTGTACATACATTATAGAAATATCTCTACTTCGTATTGCATGTCATTACAATACGAAAGATGTCATTCCTTCAAGACATTTCTTTTCTTATTTAGTTTGTATATATGTTTTTTCTTGTTTTGTTTTTTCGCACACTTATTTTTCTAGTACTTGTGCAGATTTGGTTCTGTGTTTAGTATTCTTCAAGGTATATCCGGTTTTATACAGATTTCCACGACCCATGGCTTTGCTCGATATCTCCCTTGAATATATTCTTATTTTTGACACCAATAATTGTGAATTTGTGAATAGTATATCTAAGCCATGGATAGTAAGTAGTTTTTTATTTATCCCTTTGTATGTCGCCAACTACAGTGATAAATATTCTAATATTCATTATCATGTCACTGTGGTTCGCATTCTTCTAATACTTGGATGCATTGAAACAAACCCAGGTCATTCAGATAATATGAGACTTAGTTCATTGAAAATAGCACACAACAATGTATGCAGCTTATTACCAAAACTTGATATTATAACTGCAGAACTATCAAATTTTGATATTGTAACAATTAGTGAAACACATCTTGATAACAGCATAGAAAATGAGGTATTAGCAATAAATGGATTTCATCCACCTATTCGTCTAGACAGAAATAGGCATGGAGGAGGAGTTGCAATGTATATATTCAATAAACTTGCATTTTATGAGCGTGAAGATTTAAATACTATTAATTTAGAAATCTTATGGTCAGAAGTACATGTTATTAAGAAAAGAAATTCTTGTTGGTGTATTGCATAGACCACCCAATTCATTTGCAGACTATTGGGACAATTTTTGCTCCAATATTGAAAAAGTACTGGAATGAAATTCAACAATTATTCTATTAGGAGATTTCAATGTCAACGTTTTGATAGATCAAAGTTCACAGTTTGAACTTCTCTTACAAAGGTTTGGTCTCTCGAATTTGATTCATGAACCTACTAATTTCACTCGAAGTGTGGGTACATGCATAGATCTAATCATTACCAACACTGGTATAATTAATGAGAGTTTTGTCTATCCCCCGTGTTGTAGTAGTCATTCTGTAACTGGAGTTGAAGATAAGCACCCCAGTATTTGCAAGATTTATTACAACAATGCATTCTTCCAGATAATTCTTATCCCTTAAGGAATCAGGACAATCTTACATTTCATGTTCCACAAGCCAAAACAACTTTATTTATGAAAATTTTCCTCCCCTCAACTATATATATATATGACTTTGGAATGATTTACCATTTAATATCCGAAATCTTTCTTCACTTACATCATTCAAGACTGCCATAAAGAATATATACTGCATAAAACCTAAGAAATATTACAATTATAGAAGTC